TTATGATATAGTATTCTTGACTGGCAATTTTTTTTTCTTTTAGAACTTTGAATGTTTTATTGTTTTCAAGCCTACAAGGTTTCTACTGAGATATCTACTATTGGTCCAATAGGAATTCCCCATAAGTGACTTGATACTTTAGTCCTGCTATTTTAGGATTCTTTCTTTGTTTTGTAATTTTGAGAACTTTCCTGTAAATGTGTTCTGGATATATGTTACGGTGAGAATTTTTTTGGTCAGGTATGTTAAGGGCCTTGCAACTTCCTTCAACCATATGTCTGTATTTTTTACAAGGTTTAGAAATTACTTCATTTAGTATATTTTGTATGACTTTCCTCTTCTAGAATGTTCATAATGCAAATGTTTACTCAGTGTTCTAGAAGTCTCAAAGGCTTTCTTTATTCTTTGTCACTCTTTTCTTTATTTGTGTGTAGCAGAGTAAGGTGTTTGTTAGTGTCTAGGGGATGCACAGGCGCATTAGAGGCCCTCTGGGGGCCTGTCTATTCAGAGAGCCCCTCCCACCCCCACTTCCTGGGGCCAAAGGTAAGTGGGCAGAGTCAAGTATCTACTTTTTAGAGCTTTAGTGGCCCCAGCTTCTTGCAATAGGCTCTTCACCTGCTTCTTGGGGTCACAGGAGTGGGGGGGGGGCTGCCTGCTCCGCGTGGGAGCTTCAGTGCCAGGCTACTCAGGGCTGATGGTCCAGCTCCTTTCTTGGGCCAGGAGTGCACAAATGGGGTTCCCAAGTGGGTCTGAGGCGGCAGTAGAAAGCGGGAGGCTGGGCAGGGCTCCCTGATTGCTGCTACCTGGGGGCCTTACAGGCCTGATGGGGTGGGAGGCACCCATGTTTCCCAGGGTGTTTAGCTGTTCCTTCCACTTCACAGGACCTCTGCATGGGCAGGACTTTAGGGTGGCATTACAGAACCAGACCCAGATGGTGGGGGCTGGGCGCTGTCCCTGGGGCAGGGTACTATGTGGTAACGCAGCAGTTCCCAGGAGAGTCTCAGGACCTGTGAGGGAAATTTATTCCTCTCAGCGCTTGTCCTCTAAGTTTAAAATGTGTGGTCTAAGCTTTCATCCTCATAACCAGAGAAAGAAAAACAGATTAAACCCAAAGTAAGAAGAGAAGAAATATTGAAGTAATAATAAAGTGTGGGTGTGCTCCGAGGGAGCCTAGGAGGCGGCCGTAGCTAGAGACTGAGACACTTGCTTCTGTGGGGAGATCAAGGTGACGGGTTCTAACGAGTTCAAGTTGAACCAGCCGCCCGAGGACGGCATCTTCTCTGTAAAGTTCAGCCCCAACTCCATGTGGCTCAAGGACCAGCACGCTGGCGCAGTCCTGGACTGTACACGCATGGAGTGGGGGATTAGATCATCAGCTGAAAATGCATGATTTGAACACTGATCAAGAAAACCTTCTTGGAACCTATGATGCCCCTATTAGATGTGTTGAATACTGTCCGGAAGTGAATGTGATGGTCACTGGAAGTTGGGATCGGACAGTTTAATTATGGGATTCCAGAACTCCTTGTAATGCTGGGACCTTCTCTCAGCCTGAAAAGGTCTACGCACTCTCAGTGCCTGGAGACTGGCTGATTGTGGGCTCCGCAGGCTGCGGAGTGTTAGTGTGGGACTTACGGAGCACGGGCTGTGCGCAGCAGCGCAGGGAATTCAGCCTGAAATAGCAGACTCGCTGCACACGAGCACTTCCGAACAAGCAGGGTTGTATATTAAGCTCTACTGAAGGCCGAGTGGCAGTTGAATACTTGGACTCAAGCCCTGAGGTGCAGAAGAAGTATCAAGTGTCACAGACTAAAGGAAAATAATATTGAACAGTTTATCCAGTCAATGCCATTTCCTTTCATAATATCCACAATACATTTGCCACAGGCGGTTCTGATGGATTGGTAAATATTTGGGATCCATTTAACTAAAAGCGACTGCCAGTTTCCTTGGTACCCCACCAGCAGCGCATCACTTGCCTTTAGCAATGATGGGACTACACTTGCAATAGCATCATTGTATATGTATGAAATGGATGACGTGGAACATCCTGCAGACGATATCTTCATTCACCAAGTGACAGACGCAGAAACAAAACCCAAGTCCGCCTAAATTGTCTCGTGAAAGTGGTTTCTCTATGGAAAGCGTTGTTTGCTTCCTACAAGGGCATGCATATCCCCTAAGGGATGCGTTGTAGTTATTATGGGCCTGTTGGTTAGTATGTGAATTTTTCTGTTTTCTGTCTTACAAGAGATTTGTCTTTATATTTTTTAGTGTCTTTCTTAGACGGGAAGTCTGTGTCCTTGTGCAGTAGTCTGAAGCGTTTCCCCGCCTCTTCCCTGGCAAGCCTGTTGCTGTTTATGTGCAGTTGGGCTCTTTTTGTAGCATAATATAAACCTTTTTTCCCCTGCTGCCTAATAAAGCAGAAATTCAGAACCTTTTAATGTTGGATGTTGTTGAATATTGGTAATTAATGTAATTTATTCATAAAATGGCTTCTGTAAAACAAAAGTTCTCATCATGTGTGTGATGAAGATGACATTCTACTTTCAAAGTCTACTCTGTCTCACTTAATTACGTCTCTGATATAAGCTGGAGATTTGGTCCTGGATACAGTGATCTCTTGGCACTTAGCCATTCCCCTTGTGCCCCCTCAGTGGATCAGCAGGGCTCTGGAGCCAAGCTATACAGCTTCTCTCAGGACAGGCGCAGAGTGGCGGCCTTGGCAAACCTTGTGGCAGGATGCTGTCCTAGGGGTCCCAGTGTCGTGGAGCACACACAGCGTGTGCATCCCTGTGCTGATGAGGTCATTGTCCACACGCAGAGAGCCAAATGACAGGCTGTTCTGGACTTACCCATCAAGTGCTACATCAGAATGAAGCCCTCAGTATGGTGAATAATGTAATAGCCAGGGACTAACTGGTGGTATTGGTTCTTCAGTGTGACTGTATGCTTTTAAATGTCACAGCCACCTTGTTGAGGACATAGTTTAAAAAAAAAGCATTGTGTAAGTGAAATAATACGGTTTTGTTAAAAGTGACCAAATTAAAGCTCTGGTTTCGACCTTTTAAAAAAAAATAGAGTATAAAAATCACTGAAACACAGTAAACATAAAAGAAAGGGAGCTAAGCAAACTAACCCTGGTTCCTTGAAAAGATCAATAAACTTGGTAAACCCTTATCTGGACCAATCAAGGAAAGAGGAGAAAAAACACAAATTACCAGTGTCAGAACCAAAGAGGAAACATCACTATAAATCCTACAATCATTAAAGGGACAATAGAAGAATATCAGAAATAAGTTATGCTAATAAATTTAATAATTTAGTCAAAATCTAATTTCTTGAAAGCATAAATTGCCAAACTCTACACAATAAAATAAATGAAGCCTTTGAATACATCTAGCAGGGAAATTGTATTGTAATTAAAACTCTTCCCACAAAGAAACCTTGAGACCCAGTGGTCTCCCTGGTAAATTCTTTTTTTTTTTTTTTTTTTTTTTTTTGTGGAACCGGGGATTGAACTCAGGCCTTTGCACTTGCCAGAGAAGTGCTTATTTCACTGAGCCATCTCCCCAGCCCCCTCTCCCTGGTAAATTCTATAAAATGTTGCATAAAACATTTAAGGAAAAGCATCAGCTTTTTAGAAAACCCTTTCAGAGGAGAGGCATCAATGGCTGGGCTTTATGAGGTTACCCAATAACAAAGGCCTGCAGAAGCCTGGTGGTCTGTAAACACTGTAAACGCCAGTGTTTAGAGTTGCAGGCTCCCAGAGCTCTTAAGAGTCTGAATTTAGAAATTTGCTCGTCTTTGAGTTTGTGAACCTAAACTTCCAGTTTAAAATTTGTCTCCCTCAAGGCTGTTTATTGGTTGTAATTTTTTTTTTTGGGGGGGGTGCCAGAGCTCAAACTCAGGACCTTGTACTTGTCAGGCAAGCAAGTGCTCATGCCACTGACCTATCTCCCCAGCATTGGGCATTTTTCTGCTGCTCCTCAATCAAGGTGACTTTTTATTTTTGTAGTATTAGGGATTGAACCCATAGTCATCTCAATAAACTACTTCCTTTATTTTTATTTTTGAGACAAGATCCTGATAAATCCCTAAGTTGTCCTGATTGGGTCTAAATTTTCAACCCTTTTGCCTGAGCTTCCCAGAGTTCTAGGATTACAGGCATGGCCGCCATACTCAGTTGTGGCTGCTTTTTTGCTACTGGATGATTGTGTATGGGCCTCATTGCTCATTCGTGGTTGTTTGGAAGCTGTTGCTTTCCACCCACCTCGGGTAGCCAGAGTGGATGTTTTAAGTCTATGTTGTCTGGTCACAGACAGGCTCTGAATCTGCCCCTCTTACCACTTCTGTTGTGTTTTCGTGGCCTTTGGGGGTGATTGCTAGGAACCACCCCGTCCTCACCACTGTCCTTTCTGAGTCCTCCAAGACCTCGCCCAGCTTTAGCCAAGGAAACGAGAAAGGTAACTTGGTGTCCACAGGGGTTTCCACCAGCCTTAGTGTCCTGTGGATGCTGCAGGCTCCTTAGCAGCTTGTGGTTCTGTAGATGTGGGTTCATATCACTGTCATTTGACCAGCATCCAGGGTTAAATCCACCATTCTTAGCTTTGGGTAGCCCACTTTGGGGTTCTGCTCTCCTGACACTGGGAGTATGATCACCCAAACCCAGTGACTTACAGATTTGGGATTTTAGTCTGCATGTGACCCTTGACACCCTCAACTGTGTGTGGTGGGTGTGAATGTGAGCACATAGCTGTTTCTGAGGCTGCTTTTGTTGGGGTGAGCAGGGCGACCTTGGGCAGCAAGCTGTTTGTCTCTAGTACTAAAGGGTGCTGCCCATCCTGGAAGCCTCCAGAAACACTGGTAACCAGGGCTTCGCAGGTCTCTACCTATTTTAGTCACTCTTCTCATTACTGAGACAAAATACTGGACACCCAAAGTTAAAGAAGAAAAAGTTTATTTGGCTGTTTGTAGAGATTTCAGTCCATAGTCAGCTGGCTCCATGGCAGGGTGGCACAGTGGAGGAGCAGTGCAGAGGAGAGACAGTCCATAGTGGGCAGAAGGTGGCAAGAGGGCCAAGACAAGCCTCCTTCTGTTCCTTCCTTATTTTGTATCCAGGCTATCGGGATTGGGGCAGTGCCAAACTAATCAGTGGACCATTTAATTAATCATCCACCCTTAATCCTAGCTTTTAATCCTAGTGTTGTATCATGAGTCAGTCACACTCTAAATTCAGCCACTTATTAAAAAGCCCTACCTATGACAGCATGATGCTTTTGGGGGATACATCTAGACACAAGCCACGATACCACATAAACTCAGATCTGATGGTCTGGAATTTCCAAGGATGACAGAATGTTGAGTGGTGAGTGGTGGGCCTGGGGCTTGATTCTAGAGCATCAGAAGTAGATGGTCCTAGATAGTTGGTAGAATAGTGTCCCACAGACTCCTAGGTGCAAGAAGGACACATGCCTGGTCTGGGCTATAGCAGGGACTGAGGGTCAGGGCTGTCCCCAGAGTCTCCCTGACAATGTCCAATGCTGGCTCAGTGCAGAGGGACTATACATCCCCAGAAGGAACAATGCTGGGGAAGGGCGAGCCACTCCCTTGACTCTCGATGGCCTGGGAAGGGCAGAAAGACTGCTGGAGTATGGAGGTTAGTTCTGGAAGGTCTCCGGGGGCATGTGCCAAAACTGTGGTCCCAGGAGTGGCACTGTTTGCAGCCCATGAAACCTTAATGATATGGGGCCTAGTAGGAGGTCCTGGTGACCAGACATGGCTCAGGAGGTCCTGATGATGATGAGCTGTGAGCTGGGGGGTGGGATGCTGGTGCCTACAGATGGGTCCTGGGAGGTCCTTATCACTGGGGACGTGGTTTGGAGGTGGTAGGAAACTTTCCTTTTCCTCTGGTCCTGAGCTGTCTTCTCTCTTCAGTTTGCTGTACTGTTTCAGCACAGCCTGGAAGTAGTCCCTGGATATGCCCTGAAACCTTCATAGCGTGAGCCAAACTCAACCTAACCTCTTCCCAAGTTGTTTATCTCATGTTTTATCGTAGTGACAGAAAGTTGACCAATACCAGGGCCCCTGTAGGGAAGGCCCCTGAACTTAGGTCCTGGAAGACGCCTCACTGTGGCCCCGTGAGCCACCCCCTGAAGGAGGGAGCAGCAAGGGCTGTGGCCATGGTGACCCCCTGCTGCTCCAGATCTGCATTTACTCCCTGCCTGCAGTGTATGCCTGGACTGGTGCTGGTGCTGCAAGCCAACTTCTAAGGCCTCAGTGGGGATCCTCACAAACCTTCTCTCCCTTTCCTGCCAGGTGTCTGCCCTGCCTTGCAGCCAAGACGGTGTCCTGGGCACCTTGCAGTTTGTCTCTGTTGGTGCACCTAGCACCCTATGCTGTGTGGTGTCCAGGGAAGATTTGAAAATAGCCCCTGGCATTTCTCATGCACAGATGGCCTTTATTCTGATGCACAGATCAATGAATGAAAGCGCCACATTTCCAAAATCAGCCCTCTGTGTGCTTCCTGTTTGGTCACCTGGCCATGCTGCCAGCAGCATGGAGGCTGCCTTGGCCTGGAATGGGTGCAGTAGTGGGCTGGGTGCCAGGTCTGAGGTATTTAACAGCCTTGTGGGTACAGAGCTCTTTGGGGCATCCTCTTGTCAGCATCACGGGCAGCCTCAAGGGTGGCAATAAGTTACAGGGACATGATGTAGGGCAGACTTAGGGCCTCCGGACTCCTACGCCTGCAGAAGGGGCCTGTTACATCACTCCCCTGGCAGCCACTGAGGGCTGCCTATGCAGGGCCTCCTGTCAGCCCTTGGTGATTCAGACCTGGGTCAGATACAGTTATCAGGGACACACTCGGTCTCCTCCTCAAGCACAGGGCAGGGCGTGCCGTTGTTGGCGGGCTGCACACGGACGTACCGAGTTCTGACCTTGGTTCCCAGCTTCCCACAGGGACCTCTGCATAGGCCCCAGGGTGACCACAGGGACACCTCGCAGTCCAGTGGTGTTTCTGGAACTGAACGAAGCACAGAGATCTGTTAGGGGACAGATGGGCCCCACGTGCACACTGGCATCACAGGGTGCAGGCCAAGCTGTGCTTCTTGGGACTGAGTCTGTAGATGCCCTGGTTGTAGGAGCCCTGTGGGGGGCTCACTGTGACAGCACCAGCCCTTGTGCTGCCTTGACATTCATAGTCTCCTTGTTTCTGAAGACCTGTGACAGTGGGCCCTTTGGGTATGGGGTTTGTCCCCTGTGGAGTCCCAGCACTTCACTGTCATTGTTCCCTTTTCTCGATCCCCTCTGTTTCCATTATATTCACATATTTAAACATCACCCACTTGTGGTTATAATTAAATCACCTGGTAATTCCCATGTTTCCAGGGCACCCCTCAGACATTCTTGTTGCTAGGTAAAGAAGGGGCATAGCATGGTCTTGCCCCATCTAGTGTCAGCTCTCTGGGTGGAATTTTCCAGAATTCTCTCCCATTGGGTCCATGATGGTGTCCCCAGGCTGGCATGGCAGCTCCATCCATACCCCCTTTTCCTCTCTGTTATTCCAGCCCATGTGGCTGGGGAGCCTGTGGATGGGCAGATGACCCTTCTTGGTTGGCAGAGTTGGGGGGGGGTGAGTGGTCCCATGAACATGCGCCTTGTATTTGTCTACCCACGTGGTTGTCTGTTCAGACAGACAAACATCTGTGGTGGTCTAATGGTGGACATAGAGTTGGTTTCCCATCAACCCTTGAATGCTTGGTACCAGCGGGAGGGCTTCTCTCCGGTTGCTCTCCCCACTGCCCAGCTACAGCATGCAGGAATAGCAACCACAGTCAGGTTACCTGAGAGGCTGTCGATGATCTCATTGCCCCTGCTGACCAGGCCTGGGACTGGCGGAACAAAGGCCCTGGTGCTCTGCCGGAGTCGTACCAGGGTTACTTTGGCCATGGGTGGCAGGGACTTCAGCCGTGGGTAGTAGAAAGAGTTTGCTGGGTGACTGGGCGAGGAGGATGTGATCTGGTGTGCAGGAGAAAAGGGCTGGCACAGGGTCCAAGAAGCCCATCTGTATGCATGCGTACAACCCCCCACACCCACCAGCCCTAGTGTCCAGCAGGGCAAACCAGAAAGCAGAGCCCAGTCTAGGCTTGTCCTCATCCACCTTATTCACCAAATCTGTACCAGGCAACAGGGGGGCAAGTGTGTCTGAATCGAGGGGGCTTTTGACAGGGATTCCTCACAATGCATCTTTTGCTGGAATAAAGATCTTAAATTTACACATTTGCTGTTTGTTTTTTATCACACTGTATCACTTATCCTGTGATAAGTCTGCCGGCACAGCTGCCTGTGCTCTGCCAGCCTGAGTGTGGCTCTTCCTGTGGTGCCGGCTGGTCCTAGACATGACCGCAGGCTGGGCCCAGAGCTTCTGCCTAATAATCATTCTCAGGAGCCTCAGGTCCACCCACCTCGGTCACGGTGTCCTGCGGGATGGTCGCGAAGTTAGGGGAGGAGAAGGTGAAGCCACTATCCGTCCCAGCATCATGTGGGTAGAGGTCTAGAGCCACCTGCTCCTTCCAGCGGCCCCCCTCACACAGGTCCAGGCTGTCCACACCCACAAACCAGTCAGGGCTGGGAACAATGCGTACCACGAAGGACACCTGGGTACAGGTAGAGGCTCAGCCATGCAGCCTTGGGGACATCACCCTGCCCTCATACATGCACATGTGCACTTACATACATGTGTGCATGCACACACTTGCACCCCACTATGCTCACCAGAGAGTGCCTGGGATGCACCTCCAGCTCTGAGGCCATCTGCCCCATACCGCTGGGCACAGCAGGGGCCGAGAACACTGCATGCACGCTCTGCAGCTTCTCACCAGCAGCCTCGATCTCCTTCATCAGGGCCCAGGCCTCGCCCCGCTCTGCGAAGTCCCGCAGCCCATTGCTGGCGTACTCACTCTTCCTCCACATGGTGTAGTCAGAGCTGTGTGCTGTCCCTGTGGGGCCCAGCCCTGTGAGCTGCCCACCAACACAGGTGCCAACCCAGCTGCCACCCAGGGGATGCCACGTCCTCCTGAGCACCAGCTCTCCTGGCTGAAGGGAAGAAGCCACATCTACCTCAGCATGGCACAGTGACAGCCACATCCACAGGTTGCTGTACACTTGACTGGTGACCAGCGAGGAGCCAGCCTTCCCTGATGGTGGCCATCCTATCCTTACACCCCCAAGCCCAGGACAGCACTAGCCACTAACCAAAGGAACTTCACAACCCTCCTCTCAGCCCTCTCTCCCTCTGTTCTGGGGAGTGAACCCAGGGTCTTCTCACTGAGCTGCATCCCCAGCTCTTCTATTATTTTTTATTTTGAGGCAGTTTCACTAAGTAAGTCACCCAGACTAGGCTTGAAGCTGTGATCCCCCTACGTCAGCCTCCCAGAGTACAGGGATTACAGGCATGCACCAGCATGCCAGCCTGCAAACATTTATTGAGTGGAAGTGTATCTCATGTGTAGTGCTGTGTGCTGTCTGGGGTTGTGCCTTTTCTGCAGGGGAAACTGGAATGGAGGGACCCTTACCCAGCAATGAAGACCACTGTGCAGGCGGCCGGAACAGGGGATACTGCTTGGGGAAGGCCGTCTGGCTCCACTTGCCCGTGAAGGTAAGGCTGTACCTGGCCAGCTGCCGCGCTGTGCACACGGATTCCCCGCCCAGTGGTCGGCTGGTGGCATAGCGCAGGGAGGCCAGGAGGAGGATGCACACAGCCCTGCACAGGGTCGTGGTAGTTGGGCTGTTCATGGCTGCCAGAGGGAGGGTGGTGTCATTCCAGACACCCTGCAGGGAGCCCCCAGAACCCTGTGTGTGCTACACATGCTCTGCCTCCCTGAGACCCCCCCTGAGCTTTTGCAGATACCCCATCCTGGAAGGCAAGCCGCACCAGGTTGCTGGTCAAGGTTGGGCCACCAGGTGTCCCTGAGAAATCCCAGACTCCCCAGAGGTTCACAAGGGTGCATGGCTCACCCATTCTCAGGGTGGATCTCTCCCCTTACTGCCCCACACGGGACCTCTGCTGCCAGCCCCTAGGATCCTGAAGGTTTAGGCACCCTGCCTGCCCAGCTTTTTCAGTGCCTGGCACTCACCAGTGAGGGGGTGGGGTGACGGCCTGTTGCACAGTCAGTCTGTCAGTCGTCAGAGGGAAGAATGGAGAGTGGAGGAGAGCCGCGTGGGGTGCTGAGGAAGATGGGTGCTGAGCGCTGCTAGGCTCGGCTCTGGCTGTCACTGCCTCCACTCTCCGTCTGGCCTGGCATAGCCCCACCCTGCTTTGTCTTTCCCTCCCTCCCTCCCTCCCTCCCTTCCTCCGCCCGCCCCCTCCCTCGCTCCTCCCTGCTGGGGGGTGGGGTGGGGGTGAGTGCTGCTCTGAGGAGCCCAGGGCTGAATCCCAGGGGCCCAGACAGGGTCACTGCTCTGTTTATATCTTGCTGCAGGTACAGCTGGAGAGCCCCTTCCTGGCCTGACCTGCCGCCTGGTGAAGGCGGACTCCAGGCTTCAGCAACCCACAGCTCCACAGGGCAGGGGAGGTCCTACCGCTGCCTGGAGGTATCAGGACCCCATCCCTCCCAGAGGAACGGGGATCAGGTCAAGGGCCAGCTACAGAAAGGGCCCACCTTCCAGGGACCCCGCATTTGTATGCTGACAGCACCCACCTGGGCACTTGCCGAGGGCAGAGGCTGACCAAGGCCTTCACCCCATCACCATCTGGGGGGCAAGCTAAGGGCCTCTGCGGTTGATCACTGCTCAGCGTCAGGAAGTTGTTTCCAGACACCCTGTCATGGGGTCTAGGAGCTGTGGAGCTTGCTCAATTGCCTGGCCCTCCCTGCTTGTCAGAGTCCCCAGAGAACTTCCAAACTTAAACAAAACCTATTCTGAGTTTTGTTTCAATGTCTCACATATGCAGACAGAGAGAATAAATAAATCCAGCAAAGACTGAATGCAAACAAATAGTGATGTAACCTGCATTTCAAGTAAATACTGTGGCCGCAGAGCAGCAACAGAGACGAAGTATCCCCTGCAGTCTGTGGTGGCGGTGACTCCAGGTCTGGCTCCCAGGCCTCTGGTCACAGTGCTTCTTTCCACTCCCCAGCATCGTGGAAGACGCTGGCAGCCGCATGTGTTGGTGCCCGTCACAGTCTAAGCCCGTGGGCTCAGAACACTCATTGACTCACTTGAAGCTAACAAAATCAGGCTATTACACATTGACATATGGGGCATGTTTTATTAAAAAGGAGCTGCATACTTCAAGATAAAACTCCTTAGAACTCAGGCTGGGAAGGGCTGGGGAGATGGCTCAGTGGAATAAGTGCTTGTCTGTCAAGCACAGCCTGAGTTCAATCCCTGGTTCTGGAAAAAAAAAAAAAAAAAAAAGGACAAATAAAAAAAGAACTCAGGGGGCTAGGGAGATGGCTCAGTGGAATAAGTGCTTTCCTGGCAAGCGCAAGGGCCTGAGTTCAATCCCCGGTTCTGCCAAAAAAAAAGAACTCAGACCGGGGTTTGTGCAGTTCACGGCACTGTGATGCCCTGATGAGGGTGTGGGGGCGTGCAGCCCTGAGCCAGTGTAGTGGGGGCTGATGTTTTGTCAAAGGCGGTAACCCCGAGGACTCAAGGTGGGTGGGGAGGACACCAGTGTAGGCTGAGCTCTCTATTAGTACAGTTTGCTCAGGACCGCCAAGGACAGGACCTTCCTGGAGGTCAGCCTACAGATGCTACTGAGCTGGTATCCAGGGAGGACAGCAAGGGTAGTGCTGTGGCCATGGACCAGCGTCCACAAGGCCAGTGCCAACGCCTGTCTGTACCCTGCCCATAGTGGCAGCCCCTGTCCCCTACCCTTCCTGTCCCTGCTGTGGGTCAGGTTGGTGTGCACACCCTGGGGTGTTGGCAGGTTTTGAAGGCAAGTATTCACTCAGTAAGCCACTGGTAGTGGCCTCCCACAGATCCCAGGGCGCTCTCAAGTTCCTCCACAGCTAGGGGTGGGGTGGGGATCTAGGACTGCAGGATAGTGCTTGTCTACTCTGTCCCCTGTGTGGGGCCCAGAGCCTGCAGTGCTCTAAAGGGCTACTCAAGTCCCAGCCAGCCCTGTGGATACCAGCCAGGGTGGGGCCATTGCACAACAGTGGCTTTCAGGGCATGGCCTGTGCCCTAGGGCACTGTTGACTCAGCCTGGAGCCCCCCTCACCCCATGGGCACATTTGGTCAGCTGCAGGGGCCACACCCACCACAGGTACAGACTCCTACCCTGAACCAGGCTCCGGATGAGCCCTGGCCTCTGGCCTCACTCAGGCCAAGAGGCTGCTCCTTCATAGGGTCTCAGAGTCCTGGGCAGGGGCTATGTGGTTCTCCGCCTGCCCCCTCACTCCTCTCAGCCCTCACAGACTACCACCACCCTGTCTGGGCCTATGGAGCCCTCATGAGCTCCTCTCCCAAGACACTTCTTTGCAGCAAGCTGTTTCCTGTCCTGTGGCCTGGGGAGCCCCCTCTCACCACCCAGCCCAGAGGAGCACCCAGTCTCCCCTGCACACACAGCATGGTGTTGGGTTCCATCCAGGCTCTTTAGGAGGAAGCCCAGCCAGGGTCAACAGACAGGGATTTGCTGCAGGGTGTTAAGTGGCCTGCAGAGGCATTGCAAGCTTTCAGCGTACTGGACGGGGCTTCCAGGGATGCCCAGCAGCAGCCAAGGCTGAGTTGGCCCCACTCCCCTGCCCAGAAGCCACCCAGGGCAGCGCCTTCTGTGCCCCCTTGTGCCAGTGTTCAGGGTGCATTCTGCCAAGCACTTCTGATGCACAGTCAGAACTGGTTTGGTCTGTGGGCCAAGTCCTTGTGTTCAGTTTGTGAAGAGCCCCAAGGAGGAAGAGTGGGTGAGCCTATGCCTGTCCCCTTTGCTGCCATCTGGCCCTGTAATGCCCACTGCCATCTTGCCTGGACTAGCACAGGCACCTGCAGCCTCCTGGGTCTGGTGAACATGGGTTGGGCGGGGGACTGACTGCTGCCACTAGGCAGATGGCAGTGAGTTCAAGGCCAGCCTGGGCTACAAAGTGAGCTCAAGGCCAGCCTGAGCTGGAAAGTGAGACCCTGTCTCAAAAAGACCTCCCGTCAAAAAGAAGACCAATGGGCTGGGGAGATGGCTCAGTGGAATAAGGGCTTCCCTGGCAAGCGCAAGGGCCTGAGTTCAATCCCAGGTTCCGCAAAAAAAAAGAAGAAGACCAAAAAAGCACTGGGTTCTCAGCACAACTGCAGAACTCTCTCCTTCATCAAATCAGAGGAAACTGGCAAAAATGTCATTTTTTCAGTACTCAGGACATTAAAGATGTTAGCAGTCTATGAGAAGCTATTTCATCAAGAAAATTGGCAAATTGTGGTAAAAACAAGCTTTGTGATGCTTAAATACCCCTGCCTCAAGCTCGTTAGCCACAGGAACTCACAACCCACATCTGGGTGACACATGGCCTGAGGCCTTGGGACTGGAGTAAAGCCACGGGGCTCCCCCAGGGCAGTCTATCCAGCCTGTCTCAGAAGTTCCCTGGGGAAACTACCTGTGACCCAGCTCGGAGCTTGCCTGGTGGAATGGGGATTCCTTGGACAGTGGCAGACATTCAGAGTTCACTGCCTGAAAACCATGGGTGTCATGGAGCTGTTGTGCTGCCCTTGGTGGTGGCTGACTTGCCATAAACAGGCAAATCTGGGAAATGTGTTCCTGGGGAGCTTCAAAAATTCCAACCTACTCTGGGGATTTGAAGGCTATACACATCCCCAGGGCTATGCACAGCCCAGGAAGCCCTCCCTTCTGCCACTCTGCATGTGGCATTGAAAGTGAATGCTATCACTGGAGGAGGGTGCACTGCCCAGCAAGCCCCACAGGCTCAGGCCCCAAGATTGGAGGAGTGCCAGAGTGCCCCGTTATGATATCCTGACTGCTGAGTTAACTAGGGAGGGGCTGGCCACACGTGGGAAAGAATATAGATTTTCAGAACTCAAAAAACAGATTGCTACAGGCAACAGAAGCAGCAAGCCCTGGGAAGCGAGGATCTGATTAGAGAATTACCATAATCAACAAAAACATTATGAGACAGGCAAAAACACAGGGAAGTAGGCCACATGGGGAACACAGCTGTTGCAGAAACCTGTGGAAGCTCCGGCCCTGGACACAGGACAAAGACTGCTCCAAGAACTCCAGGAATGGACTTATGTGTAAACATAAGAAGTATATAATTCTTTTATGCCTATTTTTAAAATATATTC